TTAAAAATAGATACACAAAAAACAAGCAAATGAAAAAAATTAGAGAATTATTAACACCAGCAAAAAGTTGTGCTAATAAAAGAAGCAAAATAATACACAATTTGGTTCAGCAGTAAACGATATTTTATAGCAATAATAATATAAACACTGAACACTGATTTACCAAAACTAAATGGAGATTTAACTATATTGGGATGATGGAAGGGATGAAAACAGTTGGATGAGAGATTAATAGAATTAAACCTTTGTGTGTCAGAATTATCAACAGATAATATATAACACCGATAAATCAAGACATAGCAGCGTTAAGTATATGCGTACTATAAGTTTATGCATACTAAAAATACATGCATATCATTTAGCTTTATATATAGCAATTTAGCTAAATGCAAGTAAATATCACAAGACAAAGCTAACAATTGAAAATGGTTGCCTCTGGGGATCAGCTCTGGGTGGTGAAGAGGGTAGGGACAGGGAATTGCTGTTTGTTATATGCCTTTTACTGCTATTTGGCCTTTTAAACTACGCACATATATTACTTTAATTAAAAAAACTGATTTCTAAAACAGCAAATAAGTAACAATGTGTTAAAAATAAAGTTGAGTTTGCCATAAAACAGTAGTTCAAAAAGGTTTCATAGCAAGAGGTTGCAGAGGTTGCAGAAGACAGATAAGGTAGTGTTGGGAAAAAGATAGGCCCCAAATGGACACTAATTAAATTTGTGGAAGCAACAGCAGGGAATAGACGTTTACATGAAAGGCACTCATTTTCAATAATGGGGTTGAAGAGGGCAATAAACATGGAGAGAAACTTGAGCCACCTGTTAATGAGTGAGGGGATAGACAGAACTGCTGAGTTTATTGAACTAACCAGCCCTGAAATTCTATCATTGGTGAATGACATGTTAAATAAACATTATAGCGAGCTTCCCAGAGACGTGCCAGAAAAAGCACCTGACACTAAGATATGATGTTTTTTTGTCAATTCATTAAAGGCATCACATCACAAATTGGAGTATTTTTCATTGGCAATAGCACAATCCAGGTGATCAGGACTGTTCCCTTTACATCTTCCCATTACTACAAAAGAATTCCCTGAATCCTCAAGCCAAGTGGAAGAGAGTTGTACACACACTATATACACTTATTTGAATACTTCTTACAAACGCCACCTATATGACAACTTGTAAAATAAGTTCAGCCGAGCTTTTCCCTGTCATCAACAGGTGTAAAATTATCTGTTCCTTGCTAATGACAGGAAAATGATCACAGTATGTTATCCTTAATTTCTTCAGGAAAGTATAGGTGACTTGTAATATTTTGAATTTGAAATCAGAAGGGTGATATTACTAGGGAGGACCATGGAAAATGTACATAAATTAATTTTATAGAATATTTTAAAGCCACGTTTTTAGATATCTGATTTTGAAAAATATTTTTAATGCCTTTCACTTTGGGGAAAGTACTTTAAAGATGATCTAATTTCATCTAAAAATAGTCTTACAGTGAAACTAATTTCTTATATTGGTGATTTGAAACATTTGCGATCCAGAGTTGGGGAAGAAGATCAATAATCAAAGATTAATTTCAGCATCTGCTATGGACTTGACACTAAGATAGATGCTTTACATATTTTATCTCATTTAATCCTCTTGTAGGATATATTGTACATTAAAGTATGATTCTTCCCCTTTTAGAGATGTAGAAACTGAGGTTCAGTCCAGCTAAGTCTATTGCTGAAGCTCATACAGCTCAGCACGATCAGGTTTTATAAATTCAGATAATTAAATTGAGTGCTTGTGTTCTATTCCTCTTTACCACGCTCTTTCCAAACTACAATTTAACTCTAAACACAAACTGTGAAAATGGGGAAAATGGGTCCTACTTTAGTTTTAAAACAGCCTAACCTATGTCTGCATATTACTCTTTAAAGATACTCTTCTACCCACATATCACGACGGGGGACATGTAAACACCAAGGAGCCTAGATGGGAGAACTCCCTCCTTTGTCCATGGGATCTGCACAAGCAGGTTACCCTGTCATCACTCTGAGCAGGAATGGACCCAATCCAATGTAATCTATACAAGTGAAATTACTAACTCTAAGCTTCCAACAGACTAGTGCTTCCAAGGGCCTATTCTATTTTCAGCAGCACTTCAACTTCATCCTTATAAAATATTGAAAAAACTGGGGGTTGGGGGCTGTGGAGGGATAGCATTAGGAGAAATACCTAACGTAGATGACAGGTTGATGGGTGCAGCAAACCACCATGGCACATTTATATCTATGTAAACAAACCTGCACATTCTGTACACGTATCCGAGAACTTAAAGTACAATAAAAAAAGAGATTATCTAAAATGGAAAAAAGCAGAATTTAATAAAATTTAAAAAAAAATCCTCCAGCCTTTACAAAAGCTACATAAAAATCTCAAACTACAGTATGAATAATAAAAAGTGATATATTAGTTACCCAATTCTGCCCCTTTACTGAGTAGACAACATATAGTCTAGTCAAATGTATTATTAGATGTACTAAGCTGGGAAAAGAATATCATAACATTACTGTTGCCACTGGACAAACTCTTAATCCTGTCATACAGTTCCCATCTCTGATAATTGTCCCTCCTACCATTTCTATTGTCATTATTCTACTTCGTTTTACACCTAGACTATTAAAATAGCTTCTAATAATATTTTCTTTGCAAAGTTTTCCCCATTGATTTTTTTCAAGTTGTAGACTTTGTAGTTTATAAAAAATTTCCAGCACATATTTTTATTTAGTATTTTATGGATGACGATGTTGCTGAGAGATTTTGTATTACTAAGAACATATAGCTTGAGAGGAACAGAGTTAGGAGAAGAACTCAGGTCTCCATACCCTGAAACTAGTCTGCTTTCTATCACCAATACCTTCCCTGTGTCAGACTCTTCTTAACCAAGTGCTTTCTTTATTTTTATACTATTGCTCAAGGACTCTCCACATAAATGACCCAAATTCAAGGAGGAACTATCAATGGGCTCTGGAGTCAGCCTACATATGTATAAATCTTGGCTGTACCGCATGCTAGCTGTGTAAGTCTTTGCACATATTTTAAACTCTTTGAAACTCGGTTACCTTATATGAGCAATAAGGACAACAATAGCACCTTCCTAATCTGATCGTTGTAAGAAGAAAATTAATATGCTAGCCATAGTATCTATTAGTATTTTCCTACTCAGCAACCTTCACTCATCCTCCATTGCCTACTAAAGAAAGCCCAAAGTTTTTAAATTAACACTTGAGAATCTCATGACCTGGCCTTAATGTATCATATTAACACTACACCGTAATACTCCTTGTCGCATGTCTTTCATGCCATAAAAATCAAACCCCTAACTTTTTCTGAAACCCAGAATTTACTTTCCCAAATCTATAACTTTGTTAATGTGGTTCCCTCTGCCTAGGATATTATTTCCATGCAATATCAATACCGTATATGGAAATTCTGCCCGTTTTTCAAAGCCCAGGTTAATTACTTCCTCCTCAACACAGCCTTCCTCGATTTCGCAGCCAAAATTAATTTCTTCACTCTTTTGTTCCCAAAGTGTGTTGCTTCTTCCTCTTTTATGACTGAAAACGCTTTGGTTTGTATTATGCTTTTATATGTGCCTGCCACTTTCCCCTATTAGAGGAAACTAAGGCAAAGCAAAGTTAAGGATTAGGTTGAACTGTATAAAATTGTTGCTATTATGCCAGTTTCAACCTACAAAAATGACAATTTCAAATGATCTAATCTAATAAAATGGTTTTTTTATAGTTGTATCTAATTCACTTAAGGTAAATATTCAATACCTTCTGGATTATATTCTATGAGTTATCCTAGAGGCCAATGTTTCTATGTAGATATACAGAAGAAAGACATTTTTAGGCTTTTTTTAAATTAGAAAACTGTAAAAAATGTAGAGACAAGGGTCTCACTATGTTGACCAGGCTTGTCTTGAACTGCTGGCTTCAAGAGATCCTCCAGCCTTGGCATACCAAAGTCCTGGGAATGCAGATGTGAGTCACTGAACCTGGCTCTAGGCTTTTCTTAGATTGACAAAACATGGATTTTAAATCTTTTGTAGTTCTTTTTGACTAATGTGGCCAGAATGTATATTTCAAAATTTCAGTTCTTAGAAATAATCTCATGTATATTTAATATACAACAATCAAATTCTTATGTGGACTGGCTCCTTCTTTATTTTTTCTTATATTCTTTTGTATTTTAGTAAGAGGTGCCTATGAAAGAGGTCAATTGGAGATCTAGAAAAATACAAGTGATGGTTGATTCCCTATTGTTCTAGTTATTAATGTTAGTTTTACCAAGATACAAGAAAATATTTTTCCTTCAACACTTGTATAGCAGATGTTTACAAGATTCCAAAGTCTTCATTACATAAATTACCAAGAATTGTGTTACATGAGATTTCTCCTTAGCAACTAAGTTCTAGTTTCTATTTTGTCAATGTGATACATAATAAAATCTATACATATTTTGACTTGATTCTCAAGTCAAATAATATATTCTCAAAGAAGACATACAGAAAGTATGTATATATTCTCAAAGAAGACATACAGGAAGTAAATACCAGTTTGTGAAATGTGACCATTGAAATCATCTTAGATAATATAACTGTCAATTTATTGTTCATTTAAATATGATACCTCATGAAAATATTTAACATTGCACAACTATTGGGCCCATTTTAGAACTGAAGATCCACTACAGATTAGGTATTCATTAACCAGTTCATAACTAACCTCATAGATTTAATGTCTTAGTGGACCTAAATTGTTTTGTCTTCTGAGAGAAGATGGGAAGATTTGTTCTAAATATGCTATGACAAGGCACAAATACCAGTGGTATAACTTCTCAGTATTTTGATGAAAATTTAATGGGAGCACCTGCACAGTGGTATGAGAAGAGTTCAAGAATGTTATTTCAGTTTGTTAAGGAATCAGCTGATTGATCTTACCTGCTCACAAATCTGGCTTGATCCACTATGGCACAGTTCATTTCCAGTATGTGTAGAAATTGGATCATTTCCTGTGATGGCTTGGATTTGCTGGCTAGAATCAGGTTGTTGCCAGTGTGCAGAGTGGATGACCTGGGGCTGTTGGACAATGTGATGATGGCATTGAGCCTGAGGATGGCACTCCTAAGACACATACACATGCCAAAAACAGCCACTTAGGATAAACATTACTAATCAAGAAAAACATCTGAAACCATTTTTTTTAACTTAATGTTTTCTTTCACTACAATTCAAACCCTAGGATTTATAGTTTTAACTAGTGATATTTTTTCAATTTTTTTCATTGGGAAAATTTGTATTGAATTCTGCTTTTATTTGATCAGGTTGTCGTGACCATCCAAATACTTATCTAGATTGGCCAAGGCATTGCATGTTCTAATTAAATTAATATTCCAGCTATACTTAACACTAAAATAATAATGAATATTAATATTAGTATTACTTTGATGATTCAGTAGGCACTTCAGAATCTAATTACATAAAACACGATAATACTGAAGATATAGATAAATTTAAAATGAAAAAATAATATAGTATAGTGATTTTCAATGTCAGGAAGCATATTAGAGTCACAGTGGGTGGGGAGCAAAGTTCTTATCCTTATGAAACTTAAGGATAAATTTATTAAAAAGATAAAAAAAGCCAGCCACTGAAACTTCAGACCTAGAAAACATGGATTCTAACTGATTTTATCACTAACTCTGATCTTGAGAAACTGTGTATGCAACCTTTATGAGCCTCTGTTTTCCCATTTATAAAAGTGACGATGGTACATTTTCCATTGGGGTGCTATGAGAAGTAAATAAACTAATGTCTATAAGTTGATTACTACAAAGTAGGTGAGTAACAAACATTATTATTATGATCGCATCATCATAATTTTCATAATCATCATCAACTTTATCATTTACCCTAATAATTTTGCAGATGGAAAAAAAAACTCTGAGGTCTAGAAAAGTAAGAGAATTTGCTAATAATAACACAATTAATTAATGGCAAACTTGGGACTGGAACTCATGATTTCCAGCTTAGACTTCTTTTAGGACATTAGGCTGAATTTGCACTGACCCCAAGATATTCTGGAATTTGTTGTTTTTAAACTAAATCGTTGTTATCTGCTTATTTGTCATGGCTTTTTTTTCTGGTAAGTATAGAGCACGGACTAAGAAAAGATATCTAGTTATTTTAGTTTGGGGGATTTCAGGCATACTTGAATTTGCTTTCTTATCTTGTGATTATTCTACTTCGATAAGAGACATCTGGAAGCCTGTTTTCAAAAGAAACATACTGTATTTTGAATCACAGTGCTATATGTATGCACATACAATTAATTTTGAAAGTATAAATGTAATGCACTATATCCTTTTAACTATGGAAAGTTGACCTATATTAATACAGTAAAACACTTCATATTTTAAATTTTTATATGAAATAATTTTCAAGCTATATTAAATGAAAAAAAACAAAGTGCAAAAGAATGAAATAGTATACTCTTTCTGCTGTAACTTTTTTTTAAGTGACCTATACATTTTCAAATATATATAACTGCTTTGAAATGCATAGACCAAAAGAGTTTTAAGAGTAGCTGCTTCTGGGAGGAGAAACTGGGGACAAAAGTGTCTGGATAAGGAGGTTTATTTGTCACCGTATACCTTTCAATGCTCTTTTTATGCCTCTCAATTTTTTTATACTTTAAAATTTTTCCATGAATAAAAATTACCTTTTCATGTATACAAAAAATATTTTGAAAAAAATGAAATATATATAACAAACACATTTTACAAATAGAAGTTGCCTTGGTAGATATAAAGATAATAAAGGTCATAGAATAAGTTCATGGTATCATTTTCTCTAGACTCTTTTCAAATATTACACACTTTGTACATATACTAGCACTAAAATCTTTACAGTGTAGGAATTTTGGGGGTGAATGTATGTTACATTATTATTATCTTTTATGTTACAAAATATCTTCATATATTGGAATGAGGTAAAATTACACTGATAGTCTGAGATGACTATTACTCATCGGAGAGCCTGTAGGCTATTGAAATAGAACCTCTCCTGAAGGAATAAAACAAAACAAAACAGTATGTTCCTCACAAAGCAAGTTAGGAAACTCTTGGAAAGCACACATCACTAGAGGGCAATAAAGAAAACAAAACCTGTTTCTTAAAAATCTTCCTGGCCGGGCACGGTGGCTCATGCCTGTAATCCCAGCACTTTGTGAGGCCAAGGCGGGTGGATCACGAAGTCAGGATATGGAGACCATCCTGGCTAACATGGTGAAAACCCGTCTCTACTAAAAAATACCAAAAATTAGCCGGGCGTGGTGGTGGGCGCCTGCAGTCCCAGCTACTCGGGAGACTGAGGCAGGAGAATGGCATGAACCCAGGAGGCGGAGGTTGCAGTGAGCCGAGATCGCGCCACTGCACTCCAGCCTGGGGGACAGAGTGAGACTCCGTCTTAAAAAAAAAAAAAAAAAATCCTTTGTTAGTGTATCAGTTGTCCAGTTGTCTCTTGAATAGAACACTGACATTCCCGTCATCTGTGGTGCCTTGCAGGTTACCTGAGCCCATTTGGCCTATGAACCATTTACTGGTACCACTGAGGTCTTAGCAGGTTTTCAGTTTTTAATTCTTACACCTGACTACTAAAGTTCTTTTTCTAAAGCAAAATGTTCATATATTCATCATATTTTTAAAATACATAATAAGCTGAATTTTTAAAGTACAAAAAGATTAAACATTTCTGATTTGTCATATTGTTTTTCCTTTTTGATAGAGTAAAAAGAATTATGATGAGTACAAATCATATGAACTGGATAGTTATCTTGCACCTGGCACCACTTTACCACCCTTCCACTACAAAGATCTCTTTTTTCTTGAACAGTTCTCATCTCCTAAGAGCTAGTCCTATTTGATTTGGTCACATGTGACGGTAAACAGGTTCATCCAGACTTTGGCTTTACTCAGATTGTCCTAGTTTATCTCCATCACTGAGGAAACTACTAGGACAAAGCAATTGAAGTTTGCTCTATCTGCATGGTTCCTTTTACATTGGGTAGCTTTCATGGCGGTTCCCAAACTCCCAAACTGTTTAAGTAATTAATAAGAAGAAGTGGGCATAAACAAGTAAATACTCAAGAACAGTAAATAACTGCAGTATTCTCTTAAAGGAGCTAGTCTTTAGTTGTTCCAGCTGCACAGCAACAATATACAAGATATTCAATCTTTTACTCTAGAGTCAATAATTAGAAACACTATTTGTTCTCTTGAAAATAAGAAGCTAGAAGCAGCATGAAATGATTTGCCTCTAACATTCCTTATTATTTAAAACGTGTGAAACTTATTTTCTATAGCCCAGGTGGATAAAGGACAGATGTTATAATTTGATTTGTTATAAAGGAAAACACTCCTTGAAGAATAGGTACATTTCATGAAATTTTTTCTACTTGGTATCATAATGTCCAGAAATATTCTGCTGCTCCTCTGTAAGATATGTGTTCAATACAGATCATAGCAAACCCTTCAGACTATATCCAGCTTTCCAAGCAAACCAAAATGTTAAAGATTTGCATGTTTATGATTCTGAAAGTTGGCTTCATTTTAACTGAACACAAATAAGTAATAATGTATTAGTTCCTATGAATCTGGTATGTCCACAAGTGCTCATAAAAATAAAATGAGTTCTTATGCCAAAAAGTTCAAAAAGGAAAAGATATAATTTTTTAGTCAGTTTGATTTGCATATAAAAAAATGATTTTGTTATCAAAACTGATTTGATAGTGTTTTAACTGCCTATTATGAGTCGAATTGTACCCTCCCATAGCCAAGATATGCTGAAGTTCTAACTCCAGTAACTCAGAATGTGACTCTATTTAGAGACAGAGTCTTTATAGAGATAATCAAGTCATTAGGATGGCCCTAATACAATATGACTGGTGTCCTTATAAAAATGCAAATTTGGACACAGAAACAAACATGCACAGACAGAAGATGATGTGAAGACACACAGGAAAGTTTCCATAGGAAGACAAAGTACTGCAGTGATGCATCTACAAGCCGAGGAATGTCTGAGGCTACCAAAAGCAAGGAGACAGGAATGGAAGAGTTCCTTCTCTGGCAGCTTCAGAGAGAACATAGCCCTGCCAACACAGTAAGTTCAGACTTCTGGCCTCCAGAACTGTGAGACAATAAATTTCTGTTGTTTTAAACCACACAGTTTGTGGTACTTTGTTGCAGCAGCTCTAAGAAACTAATACACTGCCCTAGTTCAAGAATGTCCAACAGACAAGTCCTGGACATTGGACTGTACATGCTTGTATGAACTGAGAAGAGCAATATGAAACCTCAGTTCGTTATAGTAACAACTCTGCATGAAGGACTTGTGGCTCTAGATGCCATGGAATTACTGTGGCCTTGCTGCAGTTTTATACTTGGTCTGTCGATTTGAGCGTAACAGAATTTTTTAAATGTACTAGAAGCTTTAGTTTTCTAGATCTTTTATAGTATATGATATTTCACATATCTGTTCCTATGTATTGTTCATTTAAAATTCATTCTATATTAAAAGAATTAGAACAAAATTATGTTTTAAATTATGATTTTTGTTGGACCAGTTTAAAGGATAACATACAAGGCATTGGGATATCTATATTAAGTTCAGATTCTGCCATTAATTTTCTATGTGACTTCACATATCCTGGTTTCAATTTTCTTTCAGTAAAAAGGGGACAATAATACTTCACATGAAAAATGGATATGAAAGTATTAAGGATGGTATGAAGGGTTCTAGATATCATAGCATATTATAAGTCATGGTGGTCTTGCCTTGCACTTCACAGTTGAATGTCACTTGAGCTCTATTAAAATACTCACAATTCAAAATTATACACTTAAAAACAAGTTTTTAAACAAACATTACTTACCTGGTCAGTATTTAGCTTCTCCACTTTTCTTATTGTTTTTTCATAAATAACGTTGTTTCCTGGGAAGAAATGGCTTCCTCTTAGGAATTGAGACAGTGGTTCCTAAAATGATAGTAAATTATATGTTTTGTTTTGAAAGTTGTCTTTTCAGAGTAATGTTAAATTAGGCAAATATCCAGTGTCTAATAGGCTCCGAGGTAGTGGCCGTCCTTAGGAAGAGAGTGGAATGACATCCCAATAATGTTGGTAGATGCAAGGAAATAATAATAAAGGTAGTTCCCTTTATCAAAAAGAACAATCTGGATTTCTCCTATTACATTTTACTAGGCCTAATAATGTCTTTTGTGGAGATTGGTGGAGAGTGGAAAAGATAATTTTCTCTCTGTTCCTAAGGCAAGATATGAGTTTCCTTCGAGGTATGCAAGCATGAGGTCAATCTCATTTAAATTGGGTTCACTGGAAGATTTCTTTCTATGCAAAAATTGTTGGAGAAATGCAAAGTAAACATATTTCAGCATGACTAGGCCACAAAGTAGGTAGAAATATATTAAAGATTTTTTTCTGCAACTCAATTGGGTGCCCTTGAAATGTACAATTCTTAATTGTGATTATAATCAAGGCTAAGACTCTCAGAACAACATATGTTTTGAATATTAAGAGCAGAGTAGAGGCTTTAAGAGCCACTTTATCTCCATATATTCAACTAAATTGCTGTAAGATTAGCTGAGTGCCTAGAAGACGTCAGCCAATGAAATATAAGCTGGTGACATGTCCAAAATCTGAAAGATACTGGGAAAGAGCTAATAAGAATCAGACCAGGAGTCTAAAATAAATGTCATATGCACCATGTTCTTTTCCCTTCCTTTCGTTTTCATTTGAAGTCTACTTGTGTAGGGAGATCTGGGGTTGTTTTGTTTGTTGTTTTTCTATGAAACACAATTTGCATTCATTTATTTTGTGATATAGGGGAATACTATAGAAGACCACATAGGCAAGCCTGTTACTGGTTAATGTATTTAAGAACATTTCAAAATCAACAAAAGGTGCTAGGATTTTTGTAGTCTGCTATTGTAAATACTCATAGAGCAGCTGGACCAAAACACTGATTGTTTAAAAGGGAAGATGCTATCGAATCAAAAGTTACATACTTACTGTATTTAAGTTTGAGCAAAAGGTGTTTTAACCAACTGTTCCTTGGAGACTTTGGTAAAACAAATATATAAGTGACCAAATCTGTCTAGGTGATGAAGTATTAAATCTAAAGCTGAATATATTTAGAAAGATTTTCCTAGAAGCTATTTTGTGTGTGTTTGTTTTTGTAAAAGAGCCCCTATGGTAGTTATGTGCAATCATGAAACACATGCTTAAGTGCTTGCTATACACAGTGTACTTTGCTACATGCTTTGAGGCATAAAAATATAAGTCTGACTTATTTTATTACCAAGAGCATTTAATATTGATCAGTATTCATCAAACTATGGTAGATAGTCTATTTTTATTCTGCCCTCAAGCTAAGAATGGAAGTTAGATTTTAAAGGACTATAAATAAAAAACAAAGTCCAAGGCCCTATGTGGCCAGGAAAACGTAAAATATTTGTTATCTGTTTCTTTACAGAAAAATTATGCCAATCCCTGACCTAGATAATATATGAACACAAACATGTATGCAAGGTAGAAAGAGACAAATGCCCTTACATGTACAGAGAAAGAACTTACGGGATGGAGTTCAGAGGAAAAAAACTGAGTTCCATCTGATGGTGCTCTAGTAGGGTACCTGGATTAGGTGGCACTTGAAAGAAGATTAAAGTGGTCTTTGAATATGAGAAAACGGAAGAAAATGGTATTCCAAGTGAAGGAAACAAAACAATTAAAGTCACCAAGTTTGGAAAAGTGTAAGTTATATGTCTAGGACACACTTAGTAGATAGAGCTTGGTTCTTCAAGCAGTGAGAAGTCTTTATGTGCTTTTAAACAGGGGTATGAGGTGAAGTTTACTTCAGGGAGATTAATTAGAGGAAGAATACAGATTAGGAGACTGGTAAGATTATCCCAATAATCAAAGATGATACTGTTCAAAGATGACTCTGAGATCTTGAATCTGAGGAGTCTACTACATGGTACCAAAAATGAAAATGTTGAGACATTTTATGTGCTCCTAATAAGAATCTAGGTCTGATTATGTTTTTATTCCCCAGAACACTTAGCAAACTACATAGTGCATAGTAATCCCTTTAACATGTGGCAAATGATTGCAAATAGCTCCCAAATTGACTCTTTTACAAAAAAATGTCTGGATAGACACTCAGATATAGATGTTTAACACATAGGTGAAAATGCAGGTCTGGAACTAAGTGGGGAGTGCAAGGCTACAGATCTATTATATATATCAAGATCACCTGCTCACTAGTGCTAGATTAAGCCAGGCAATTGCTGAATAGTCAAATGAAGAGGGCCGGGCGCGGTGGCTCACGCCTGTAATCCCAGCACTTTGGGAGGCCGAGGCGGGCGGATCACGAGGTCAGGAGATTGAGACCATCCTGGCTAACACGGTGAAACCCCGTCTCTACTAAAAAAAAAAATGCAAAAAAAAAAAAAAAAAAAAATGAAGAGCAAATATAGAACTAGACATTTCTCAAGAGGTCTTAGAGGATAAAATATTGTAATTTAAGGGAAGAGTAATTTTCAAGAAGCAGTAGGAAGTCAAAGGTAAAAATGTTTCAAAGTGGCCAACAGATGAGAATTATAAAGTGGATTGGATTTGGATTACTACAAATCCATTGGGTTTGACTACTAAAATCAGTGGAAGAAAGTATAATGGGAGAGAAATCATTGAGTCATAAAACCTATATTGCAGTTCTTCCTTCTCCTATGTGCTGCAGAAAATCAGGTAGGCCATTAACCTTATCAGAGGCTCAGTTTTCTTAGCATAGGGAGGGTAATGCAGAATATTAAGTAATATCATGTGTTTTAAAGTACCCTTAATCTATAATTTTAATGTACAAATTACATTTGTTTTAAATAATATTGTAATATAATATTTAAAATCCATACTGTGTTTTAAATAATATTCATAATTCCCTTATAACTTTTCTACAAAAATATACGCAAGTAGGCTTACTGAGGGCAGGGACTTTGACTGTCTTGAGTACCACATAGTGAGTGAATAGATGACTGAGTGAGAAGGAATGATATGAACCTTCATCTTAGGAATGTAACCATCCTCTAAGAGAGGGAAAGCAAATTTAGCAAAAGCATGAAATTTTTTTTTCTGTGAAATGAAGTTCACTATAAACGATGAACAATCATTTTTTTTACAAGACAAAAGATGGTCTGGGCACAAACGATGTTGATTCTGTCTCGAATATTTTGGTCATATTACTTGAATGACTTACTGAAAAAAAACACCTCCAAATTTAGGGGACTATTATTTTCCCCAAATCTGTAAGAAAGTAAATCAAAAATTGATATAAATAAACAATTCTTTGAAAATAAGTCAATAAAATAAATTCAATCAGAAGTTTTAGATTTCTCAACAAATGAGCTGCTAGACAACTCTACTATTTTGGCACCTTCTTTTTCTCAACCTGTCCATTTGAATTGGTGCCAGATCCACCCTAAAAATTAATAGGTGTTTTCAAAGTGGCAGATCTTATAATTTTAATTGTAACAGCTAGAACCTCTGGCGGTAATTCTCACATCTAACAAAATATATAATCCCCAACATCTACTTTACTGTTCCCAGGCCCCAAAACCTTAGTGGAAAATTTTTTAAAAAAGATTTGCTGATTTGGCTCGTTACAATTTGAAGATATCCAACTTCAAGTAGACCCTCCAACCTTTGTGGTTATATTTGTATTCATCAAATTCTTTATAACGTTGATAATATTTTCATTTTCCTCAACTCCTGTGCTTATACTCCGTCTTTCTCCTCCTATTTACAGTGAAAACCAAGATAATCTATCTAATTAGATCTCTCTATTTTCCTGCACATCTCAAAAATCTCTCTTTTCTGCTCCTTCCATCCACTTAAGGAAAAAGATGCATTCTCTCTCTCTTTCTCTTTTTTCCTGAAGTCATTTCTCCATCTGTACCTGGAATCCCATTCCTTCTTATGTCTTCCAGAATATTATCCCATTTGTCTACTTTCTCTGTTGCATCTTTAGCCTTTCTTATTACTGTTAATGGTCAAACTCTATTTCTCCAACCTCATCTTCTTAGGCCTTTTGGTCATTTGAGATGGTTGAGCACCCCATGTTTGCATTTGCTTCAGTTACGGTGTGTTCACATCCCTTGCTGGTAACCTCTCTGTCTGTGAAAGTGGCTCCTTCCTTCTGTTCACTTAAAGTAGACATTTCTCAAAGTTCTGACCCAGTCTTCTCCATTACCTCTTAGTGATCTCACTCATTCCCATAGCTTCAACGATACCTTTAAGAGGAATGATTCCCACATCTCTGTCAATTGTGACCTTTGAGTCATTTTTTAACTGCCTGTTAGGTGTCTTTGTTTCTATGCACCTAAAATGCTACTGGTTCAAATAAAACTCAAAATTTCACCCTTTTCTAAATCTACTTCTCCTCCCACTCACATTTCAATCACTTTAAGTGGGTCACCTTACTCTCAGCGTCTCAAGCTAAAAAGCTTAGGGTCATATTGACTTTTCTCCATATCCAATAAGTCATCGAATCTTGTTAAAGCTACCATCTAAAATAGCTGTCGGAAAAGATATAGAGTGATGAATTAGCATCAGAAGACCTGAGCAAGTTATACTTACTCAAACTTTCATTTCCTTAGTAGTAAAATAATGCTAACAACAAGATTAATCATACTAATACCTTAAATACCACAATAAATCCTTCTCTGATTTCCCCCAAACAAATATATTATCTCCGACATCTGAACTCCAATAGTAATTTATCCGTAGTCCTTTCATGGCATCTATCCTACATCTCATCATGTATTCTACATAGCTATTTGTGGACCTGTCTTATTTCTTTCCCTGATAAGAGCTGTATGCTCCTTTAATTTGGGAAACATGTCTTATTTCACTTTCTGTTGAGAGACTGTATAGTGTCTTCCCCATAGCAGGAGCTTCACAACTGGAAAATTAATGAAATTGATTAGTATTAATTGGATTATATCCACTAATGGAACAAATGTATTTCCTTCATTTCTGGATCAGATGTTAACCAGAATGCATAAATCCTTAGATTAAATGATGACAAATGGAGATCAGGAACAACAAAAAATAAACAGACTCAACAGAGATAGAAAAAATCATAATGGAACATGTGGATTGAGATTATTTTAATTACAGGAAAAAGAAATAAAGATTAGACAAGCTGGGAGGTGAAAGAGGATGAAATTGCTGTTTAGAAGGCTCAGCTTATTATAAATATTATAATTAAACTAGAATCTTCTCCTGAGGGGATTTAAAAGAGCAAACAAAAAAAGAATCTACTTAGATAAATAAAATGGGGCGTATAGCTAAACAGGATTTTCAAGCTATTTTGTAAAACAAGTTAGATTACTTTTCATTTACAAAGCATCGTGAAACTTGAAATTTGCTTCATTCCTCAATAATGTAAAGAGTTAAATGATTTAAAATGACCATTTTCTTCAACCTTCTGCTGGGACTTTGTCCTGAGAGAAAAATTGATACGACTGTATTCAACTACAAGTTGAACAAGTTTGTAGTTGAACACAGTCATGTTGATGAGGTCTTACAGGGGTAGGCTCAGTTTTTCCAATATGTTAGGTATTTGCATATATACTTCTAATTTCTCCGTTCTTGTAACTACATGTGGGTAAGGGGGTGCATAAGTGAGTATTAGATCCTAATTCACCTCCATCATCAATTGTCCTTCATTTGCAAATGTTTCACTCCCATCTCTCTATTGTTCAATTTCAGTTCCAATTTTGCTCCTTTGTAATTGAATGGTTTTGCACTAGCTAGGAACTTAAGTTGAAGAAGGTTGGGACTTTGTTTTGTTTACTGCTTTATCCTCCAGTTCTTAGGGCAATTTCTGGAATGCAATAGGCAATCAATAAATATTTATTGAGTAAATGACTGAATTTCTCTCTGCTTCCATTTTCTTTTCACCTTTTTAGGATTAACCAGGACATAATATTGAAATTGCCCAGCACGGAGTATATACCCAATAGTTATTAATTCTTTTTTTTTCCCTATTAACTAAAGAATAAGGATTCATCCAAAGTCATGTAAGAGTTGCTGGCAAAGTGGATTGGAATCCAAATGATTGGACATTTTAAATCTCTCTGGATATATCCTAGGCAAGCACAGCAATTCTCACACTATGAAAATAATGGGTATCTAGAACTAACTCTGAAAGCCAGTAGTATCAAGTGCAATATGCATCCAAGTATGCATATCCCCCAGATTATGTATAAAAAGAAAGAAAAAGAGAGAGGGAAAGGAAGAAGAGGAATGTGTGAAGTGACTGGCCAAGTAACAGAAAAAGATATGCTATCCTCTCCCAGGCCCTTTCCATCTCCCCCTCCCTACCTCTCCCTCCCTACCTCGATCATTTTCAGATTCATTGCATAAATATTTGATTCTGCAAAAGGAGGAACAGGCAACTGATTTAACTGTAATAACATGCCCTTTCAATATTTACATGGATGTATGAAAACTCAAGCAAATGTCCAAAACAATCACTCCTCGACTCAGAGCCTCGTAGGTTCATACCGACACACATGCACAACTAGCAGCCTGCCTAGCTAAGGAGCCATGAGATTATTTTTAATAAATAAGTAAATGAAGAAGAAAGGGTTTAGATATTAGTAGAAGCTTAGTACATCTTCCCCACTCAGAATAGTAGGAAGCAAGACCCTAATCTAACCCTTTCCTTTCCACAGCTGAAGTAAATATTTTATCTTATAAGGGAAGGGCAGGATGGCTTCACATCATGGCAGAAAAAATAAAGAGCAAAGCAAAGAATTATTGTAGTCCTCTCTGGATCATACTGTTGCCAATTGTGAAACCGATGTCCTTACAACCTCCTAGAGCTTCCTGTTGCATTTAAAAAAGGGGTATGTGTGCATGAATGTAAATGCATGTGTTGAGGATGGCTTATTATAGTGGAATCTCAGTTTGTGAAATGTAAGGATTCATATCTCAGTAAACAATAATAATGTAATTTTCTAAAAAACTCATTTCTGGGCACAAAAGTTCACACACCACAGGCAATACAGGCATAGGGGCACTATTTAACTTTTGACCTTTAATTTTCATCTTCCTAGTCCATATCTCCATGGCAAAGGTAAATAGTCTGAAAACTCCAACCCCTGGTGTAGCAATTGACAGAGCTTTTATGTGAAGCCTGTAAAAGAACTTTGTCCCTTTTTTCTTTCGTTCAAAGTGCATAAAAGTCTTTTGTAGCATAAGGGTGGGACTATAGAAGAGGAAAATGTTTACAACCCAAGAATTTCCAACCTGCTTGGAAGTATTGCATCTCTGAGTCAGAATATATAGACGCCTGGTTGTCTGGCATTAAAGATGACATTTATTGATACTGATAATCAGCAATTTACATTGTAACTGTAAGAAAGTCCAACAATCTGATCTTAAGGATCTGGTAACTGATTGAGCCTTTTTGTTTAAGCAATTAACTTCTAAAGAATTATATCTTGGGAAAAGTTTGTGTCTTACCTGTTCAGGATTTTGTACTACATATTTCCTAATAGTGGTCTGTGGATATGTAGTAACTTTCACTGTTGGAGAATGAAGTTCCTGTAAAGAAAAGATAAAAGCTGGATATAATCATAGTTATTTAATTACCTTGGAGCTATCAATAACAATAGGGAACAATTTCCAGTGTGATATTTTTAGTTATTTGCATGAATGATGATGTATGATTTAGTTAATTTTAATTTCAGAAACATGTATAAAAGCATGTGTTCTGTGCTCAGTATTTTACTGGGTACTTGTATTATACTCATTTCATGGTATTTCATCCACATTCCAAACTATATTTGACAAGCATTTTAAAATGCTTGTTTCATTATAAATGATTACAAGAAAATAATACCTCAATAGTGATGAATTAAACCTCTGGTTTGGAAAAGACATCTTATCTTAAAAAAAATGAAAAGAGACACAAAGAGAAAAACGTGTATGTGTGTGTAGTTAAACATATAAATCTTCAGTGTGCTGGAAAGAGAGGACCATAGATATCATTGTAAAATGTTGATGGGAAAAGAGTTTTTTTAAGGGGGTTCATGTAGATTTATTTATTATTTTTAACTTTTATTATAGGTTCAGGAGGACATATGCAGGTTTGTTATATAGGTAAATTCATGACACAGGGGTTTGTTGTACAGATTATTTCATCACCCAGGGACTAAGCCCAGTACCCAGTAGTTATTTTTACTAATCGTCTCCCTCCTCCCACCCTCCATCCTCAAGTGTGGGCCAATGTGTATTGTTCCCCTTTTTGTGTCCAGGATTTCTCACTATTTAGCTCCCACTTACAAGTGAGAACATGCGGTATTTGGTTTTCTGTTCCTATGTAAGTTTGCTGTGTAATGGCCTACAGCTCCATCCATGTTCCCACAAAAGACATGATCTCATTCTATTTTATGGCTGCCTACTATTCCATGGTGCATATATATATATATATATCACATTTTCTTTATCCAATCTGTCATTAATGGGCATAGTGATTTCATATCTTTGCCTTTGTGAACAATGCTGCAATGAACATTCATTTACATGTGTCTTTATGGTAGAATGATTTATATTCCTTAGGATATATACCCAGTAATGGGATTGCTGAGTTGTATACCCAGTAAGGGGATTTCTGGTAAAAGGGTAGTTCTATTTTTGGTCCTTTGAGGAATTGCCACACTAATTTACACTCCCACCAACAATGTATAAACTTTCCCTTTTCTCCACAGTCTCACCAGCATCTGTTAGGTTTTATTTTCTTCTGACTTTTTAATAATAGTCATTCTGACTGTTATCAGATGGAATCTCATTGTGGTTTTGACTTGCATTTCTCTAATGATCAGTAATATTGAGCTTCTTTTCATATGCTTGTTGGTTACATGTATGGCTTCTTTTGAGAAGTGTCTGTTCATGTCCTTTGCCCACTTTTTAATTGGGTTGTTTGTTTTTCTCTTGTAAATTTGTTCAAGTTCCTTATAGATGCTGGATATTAGACTTGTCAAATGTGTAGTTGACAAATATTTTATCCCATTCTATAGGTTGTCCTTTCACTCTATTGATAGTTTCCTTTAATGTGCAGAAGCTCTTTAGTTAAATTAGATTCTGTTTGTCAATTTTGCTTTTATTGGGATTGCTTTTGACATTTTGTTTCTATGTCCAGAATGGTATTGCTTAGGTTGTCTTCTAGGGTTTTTAGAGTTTGGGGTTTTACATTTAAGACTGTAATCAATCAATCCTGAGTTGATTTTTGTATATGGTGTAAGGAAGGGGTCCAGTTTCAATCTTCGGCATATGGCTAGCTAGTTATCCCAGCTCCATTTATTGAATAGGGAGTCCTTTCCCCATTGCTTGTTTTTGACAGCTTGGTCAAAAATCTGATAGTTGTAAGGTGTGTGGCTTCATTTCTGCACTCTCTATTCTGTTCCATTGGTCTATGTGTCTGTTCTTGTACGAGTACCATGCTGTTTTGGTTACTATAGCCCTGTAGTAGTTTGAAGTTGGGCAGCGTGATGTCTCCAGCTTTGTTCTTTTTGCTTAGGATTGCCTTGGCTATTTGGGCTCTTTTTCTCATTCCATATGAATTTTAAAATAGTTTTATTTCTAGTTCTGTGAAGAATGTCCTTGGTAGTTTAATAGGAATAGCATTGAATCTATAAATTACTTTGGGCAGCATGATCATTTTAACAATATTGATTCTTCCTATCCATGAGCATGGAATGTTTCTCCATATTTGTGTCATCTCTGATTTATTTGAGCAGTGTTTTGTAATTCTCATTGTAGAGATCTTTCACCTCACTAGTTAGCTGTATTCCTAGGTATTTCGTGTGTGTGTGTGTGTGGGGGGGGGCAATTGTGAAAGGGATTGCATTTCTGATTTTGCTCTCGGCATAACTGTTGTCCGTGTATAAGAATGTTAGTGATTTTGCACATTGATTTGGTATCCTGAAATTTGGATGAAGTTGTTGATCAGCTTAAGGTAGTTTTTGGCTAAGACTATGGGGGTTTCTAGATACAGAATCATGTCAACTGCAAACAGGGATAGTTTGACTTCCTCTCTTTCTATTTTAATGTTCTTTATTTCTTTCTCTTACCTGTTTGCTCTAACCAGTACTCCCAATACTATGTTGAATAGGAGTGGAGAAAGGGGGCATCCTTGTCTTGTGCAGGGTTTCAAGGGGAATGCTTCCAGCTTTTTCCCTTTCACTATGGTGTTGGTTGTAGGTTTGTCATATATGGCTCTTATTATTTTAAAGTATGTTCCTTCAATACCTAGTTTATTGAGACTTTTTAACATGAAGCAATGTTAAATTTTATCAAAAGCCTTTCTGCATTTATTGAGATAATCATGTGATTTTGTCTATAGTTCTGTTTATGTGATGCCTTGCATTTATTAATTCGTGAATGCTGAACCAGTGTTGCATCCCAGAAGTGAAACCTATCTGATGGTGGTGGATTGGCTTTTTGATGTGCTGCTGGATTAAGTTTGCAAGTATTTGGTGGAGGAGTTTTGCATCAATGCTCATCAGGGATATTGGCCTGAAGCTTTCTCTTTTTTTGTTGTGTCTCTGCCAGGTTTTGGTATCAAGGTGATGCTGGCCTCATAGAATGATTTGGGGAGGAATCGTACCTCTTCATTTTTTTTGTAGTACTTTCAATATGAATGGTACCAACTCTTCTTTGTACATCTGGTAGAATTTGGCTGTGAATCCATCTGGTCTTGGGCTTTTTGTTGTTGCTGTTAGGTTATTTATTATTGATTCAATTTTGGAGCTCATTATTGGTCTGCTCAGAGATTCAATTTTTTCCTGCTTCCGTCTTGGGAGGAAAAATGTGTCCAGGAATTCATTCATCTCTACTAGGTTTTTCAGTTTGTATGCACAGAGGTGTTTGTAGCAGTTTCTAATGGTTATTTTTATTTCTGTGAGATCAGTGGTAACATGCTCTTTGTCATTTCTAAGTGTGTTTATTTGGATCTTCTCTCTCTTCTTCTTTATTAGTCTAACCAGTAGCATATGTGCCTTATTAATTTTTTGAGAAACGAACTCCTGGATTTGTTGATCTTTTGAATGTTTTTTTGTGTCTCAATTTCCTTTAGTTCAGTAATGATTTTGGTTATTTCTTGTCTTCTGCTAGCTTTGGGGTTAGTTTGCTCTTCATTTTCTAATTCTTACTGTTGTGATGTTAGGTTGTTAATTTGAGATCTTTCTAACTTCTGGTTGTGGGTGTTTAATGCTATAAATTTCCCTCTTAACACTGCCTTAGCTGTGTACCAGAGATTCTGGCATGTTGTGTCTTTGTTCTCACTAGTTTCAAAGAACTTCTTGATTTCTGCCTTAATGTCATTATTTACCCAAAAGTCACTCAAGAGCATGTTGTTTAATTTCCACGTAAATGCATGATTTTGAGGGATTTTTTAAAATTTGACTTCTATTTTTATTGCGCTTTGGTCCAAGAAGGTGTTTGGTATGATTTCAGTTCTTTTGCATTTCCTGAGGATTGTTTTATATCTGACTGTTTGGTGGATTTTAGAGCATGTGCTATGTGATGATGAGAAGAATGTATAGTATGTTGTTTTGGGGAGGAGAAGTTCCATAGAGGTCTATCTGATCTATTTGGTCAAATCTTGAGTTCAGGACCTGAGTATCTTTGTTAAGTTTCTGCCTTGATGAGCTGTCTAATACTTTCAGTGGAGTGTTGATGTCTCCCACTGTTATTGCATGGGAGTCTACATCTCTTTGTAAGTCTCTAAGAACTTGCTTTATGAATCCTGGTACTCCTGTGATGGGTGCATATATATTTAGGATAGTTAAGTCTTCCTGTTAAATTGAAATATTTACCATTAGGTAATGCCCTTCTTTGTCTTTTTTTTTTTTTTTTTTCTTAAAGTCTGTTTTGTCTGAAATTAGTATTGCAACCCGTGCTTTTTTATTTTTTGATTTTCTTGGTAGATTTTTCTCCATCCCTTTATTTTTAGCCTACGGGTGTCATTGTATGTGAGATGGGTCTCTTGAAGACAGCATTTTTTGGGGGAGTCTAGGTTCTTCATCCAGCTTGCCATTCTGTGCCTTTTAACTGGGGCGTTTAGCCCATTTACATTCAAGATTGGTATGGAAGTGTGTGCATTTGATTCTGTTATTATTTTGTTAACTGGTTATTGTGCTGCCTTGTTTGTGTGGCTGCTTTATAATGTAACCGATCTGTGCACTTAAGTGTGTTTTTCTATTGACTGGTAATGATCTTTACTTTCCATGTTTAGTGCGCCTTTCAAGATCTCTTGTAAGGCAGGTCTGATGGTAACAAACTCCCTTATCATTTGCTTATCTGAAAATAATCTTATTTATCCTTTGCTTAAGAAGCTTAGTTTGACTGGATATGAAATCCTTGTTTGATGATTTTTTTGTTTAATAGTATTGAATACAGGCCTCTAATCTCTCCTGGCTTGAGGGTTTCTGCTGAAAAGTCCACTGTTAGCCTGATGAGTTTTCCTTTGTAAGTGACCTGTCCTTTCTCTCTAGCTGCCATTAACATTCTTTGTTTCATTTCAACCTTGAAAAATCTGCTGATTATGTGTCTTGAGGATTATCTTCTTGTGTAGAACCTTGCATGGTTCTCTGTATTTTCTAAATTTGACTGTTGGCTTCTCTAGCAAGGCTAGGGAAGTTTTCATGGACTAAATCCTAAAATGTTTTTCCAAGGTTTTGCTTTCTCCCTGTCCCTTTCAGAGTTGCCAATAATTCATAGATTTAGCTTGTTTACATACTCCCATATTCCTCAGAGATTTTGTTCATTCTTTTTTATTCTTTTTTTCTTTATTTTTGTCTGACTGTCTTATTTCAAAGAGTCAGTGTTCAGGTTCTGAGATTCTTTCCTTGGCTTGATGTATTCTTCTTTTTTTTTTTTTTAATTTTTTTTTTATTTTTTTGAGACGGAGTCTCGCTCTGTCGCCCAGGCTGGAGTGCAGTGGCGCGATCTCGGCTCACTGCAACCTCCGCCCCCCAGGTTCATGCCATTCTCCTCCCTCAGCCTCCTGAGTAGCTGGGACTACAGGCGCCCGCCACTGCGCCCGGCTAATTTTTTGTGTATTCTTCTTTTAATACTTGTGATTGCATTGTGAAATTCTTCTAGTGTGTTTTTTCAGCTCTATCAGATCAGTTAGGTTCTTTTTTCACTACCTATTCCATGTGTCGGCTCTTGTATCATTTTATTGTGATTATTAGTTTTCTCAGATTGGGTTTTGCCATTCTCCTAAATCTCAATGATCTTTATTTCTATCCATATTCTGAATTCTGTTTCTGTTATTTCAGCCAGTTCAACCTGGTTAAGAACCTTTGTTGGAGAACAAGTGTGGTCATTTGGAGGACATAAGCCACTCTGTCCTTTTGAGTTGCCAGTGTTCTTGCATTGGTTTTTTCTTACCTCCGTGTGTGGGTGTTCCTTTAACTGCAGTGTAGGTTGAACACAGTCAGTAGACTTCTTTTTTGGATGTTTTCACAGGGCTGAGATTTTGTGCAGGGTCTAAATAGCTAACTTCTTGTCTTTGGTTTCACAGGGAGTTATGTTAGTGAGGTATTGTTGTTGAAGCTTTGGGTTGTGATCCAATACGTGGCGCTCAGGCATAGCAATCTGTTGGTAGGCTCTTCCGCAGTCCCGTTGCTCCTCTGTTATTTCCTCACAGTTGCAGCTATGCTCCCTCTCAATGCCCTGAAAGTGTGGGCTCCTCTCCCACTTGAGTGCTGGCTGTAAATTGTGGCTTGGCACTCCAGGGATGGCCATTACAGCTCTATGGTGATATCAGTGTTTGTTTTCTCCTCAACTTGGAGGCAGCAGAGACAACCTTAGCAGTGGTTGTGGTCAAAGGTCTTTTACTTGTCTCCCGGGGGCTCCACCCAGGGAGATACAGGTCAGCAATCACTCAGTGCTATCAGCCCGGGATGGAGGTTCTGTGCTGTAGGCCTAAGCTGGGGGTTCCCTGCCTGGTAATGAGCAGGCAACGGGTTCCATGGCAGGGAAAAGAGTTAATATCATCCATATAAAGAGAGTTTTTATATATCAATGAGAACAAAATCCTAAGGGCTACATTTCTAAGTCAGTTATAACCTTTATCCCACTGTCCAGTGGTTTGTTATGTATGTGGCCCATGCTAGTCTGTGAGCTCCTTGAAAATAGTGATTGTATCTAATTTATCTTGGTGCAATATGTGGCACATACTTGGTGTTCAGCAAATGTAAGCTGAGTAAGTGCATTACTCTAATTGACCTAACTCTAATCTAGACCAAACTGAGAAGTGGTAGGGAAACTTTAATTTAATAATCTTCTTATTTTTCTGCATAATATCATATTTTCCTTGCTGTACTCAAGGACTAAAGACCAGTTTTTGTTCATTTGTCTCCTCACTATCCAAGTTCACATCCTGACCCCGCACTGGGTCAGATTGTTTTCTTAAAACAGCATCTCCCGCCTTCCTACCTTCTAAATCCCATAACCCCTTTACTCCTCTTTCATGTAACAACAAACTTAGTGTGCTTTATGTTTTACTTTCTTAGAATTTACTTTTTTATATATGGCAATTACTTAATGAAACACATATTTTAATATTCTGTTTATTATTATAGCTACCTTTTGGATACACAATACCTAGATTCAAGAATAATCCTAAAAGTGGGATTATTAGCCATAAAGGCTAAGGAAATAGACCCTTGTGTGTCTTTCAAATCATACACCTATAAGAAGAGTTAGTTATGACCCTATAAGTTATTCTCTCTGAATATGAACTCATAACACAATCACTCATAAAGCCAAGTCTTCAATCAATCTGAGATCTGGGTATTTCATCCACACTCACTAGGAGATCTTTGGCTAAATTAAACTGCACTCAAACTAAAAGCAGTTAGATTGAATAGGCAATGAAACAGAAGAATCTGATTCATAGTACTCGTTTCACATTACTTTTACTGGGCTGAGCTGATTCTTATATGTGAGAATCCTCTTTCATATTTTATGATCCTCACATGATGTGAATGTGTAAAGTCTTATGAGGATCTAAAGATTGCTTACATACACGAAGAAGACTTCCATATAAAAAAGAGGAACAAATCTAATGTAATTCACAACTTCTTTTACCTGTTCAGTATTTTGGGTTATATGTAGAGTACTTGGGCCACATGTAGATATTTTTAAAGTTGGAGAATGGAGTTCCTGTTAAGAGAAACAAAAGGGAGTTCAGAAATTATTTGAAAGTCTTAAGTTCTCATGGTATTTTTTCTTTATTTTTATAATAATCTGATTAGTACGAAATAAGAGCATTATTAGTGCTTTCTTAGATAATGTCCATCTTTCCAAAGAACTAAATTACTTTGTTGTCTTCTCACATAATCCAATGATAAAAGAGTTTCTAGAGTGCTTTCATAGCAATACATTCTACTTGTACTGTTAGGTTGCATTCTTTTTGTTTCTACTTCAAGAACTCTGCATTCATATACACCCCAATGTTATTATTATTATATGTTTGCAATTAACAAGATATAATATTTTATCAAACAAAATTTTTCTTTCAGTATTTGTTTTATTTATTTTTAAAAATTCATATAAATTTAAGGGGTACAAGTACAGTTTTGTTACATGGATATTTTGCATAGTGATGAAGTCTGGGCTCTTAGAGTAACCATCAACCGAATAGTGTACATGGTACTCATCAAATAATTTCTCATCAAATGATGTAAACTTTAATAATGATCAAACCAAGAGACAGACACCCCATTCTCCATGTTGTGCTTATTTCACATTGCATGCTTGTATCAAAATATCTTATGCACCCCATAAATATATACATTTACTATGTGCCCCAAATTTTAAAAATAAAATAAAACTTAGAAAAAATAATTCTCAAACCAATATAAGAAACTACCTTTGAAAACTCAACTAAGAGTAATTTTAAGAATAAAGTTTAAAGTACCTTTGAAGAAGGTAGTTTGAAGAATAAACTTGAGTAAATTTCAAACTACCTTTGAAAACTCAACTAAGAGTAACTAATTTTAAATCAATTCAAGCTGACTCTTAATTATGCTTTGTCTATTCTGCTTCTTGTCTAATTTCAAAGAGTAGGCTGTATTGTTAAAAATAATCTGTAAAAGTGAAATAATATAATTTTTTAAATGGTCCAATAAAATGATCAATCTATCCATCACACTGGCATTGTTTACATATTTCCTCAAAGCCAACAAAACTGCAATCACTTCATTAGTGTGCAAAGAATTGATGGCATTACTCAATCTCCCCATACCTTACCATAATTTACAATCAATTGGCACAACTCCAGGATATTTTCCTACAAAGGTATAAATATTTTTTCTTTAGAACAAGGGGACTATTAAAACTCAGAATCATTAATTTACAAGGGAAGCACTGACAGACACATACAGAACTATGGCTATAATGTAGGTATTACATGTGTTCTTAAAACAGGACTATGCATTTACTCAAACTGCCAAATGTTCTGCATTCTTTCTTGTTGTTGTTCTTATCAAACTTATAACATTTTCATCCTCCCCCACCCTTTATATCAACAGCAGTACTGCAGGCTCAGTATTTCTAGGAATCTTTTGCATATGTTCCCAAATTTTCTGCTAATAATTGAGAAGACTTACTCAGACAAATGCAGAGAATTATAGATATTAGACAAAACAGGTACACGTTATCCAGTTTAGGAAAATGGTTATAAATACAACCATGTGCAGGCAGGTTTTGCCCACAGACCCAAGAGGAGCAGATTCAAGAAGACAAGAAAAAAGAGGGGTGCTCTTTAGTTATGAAATAATACACGAACACATTCTTAATATAAACATTTATATAGATAAGGTTAAAGACCTTCTCTTGACCATCTTCCCTCCACTCACTTACCCAGAAGTTACCATTGTTGTCAGTTAAGGTGTCTACATAAATACCTATGTATAAATAGTAATATTATTGCTTTTGTTGTTCTACAACTTAAACCAAACAGTATCTCTTGTATTATGTACTAGATACATGTTTTAACTCATTATTTTAAATTAATAGTATTCAGCTTGTTTATATGTTTTCCTACCGATTAACATTTAGATTATTTCCAGGTTTCCACTATGCTGCAATGAGCATCCTTGTGCAACATGTTCCTTTAGAATTCCACACAGAATTAGGATTGCTGGGACATAGAGTATGTGTGTTACTCATTTGAACAGATACTGCCCAATTAATTTCCCAAATTTGACTATGATAATTATACATCCACCAGCAGTATGTGAAGGTATTCATGACTAGAGGATGTTTGGTCTGTTTAGGCTGGGGCTAATAATATTATGCTAGTATCATTCTGAGAAGACCATTACGTACATGGCTAGTATCTGGTAGCTGTTGTAGAAATGATACCTCTCTCCTCCTTCTTGTAACCAATTCAAATATGATGGCATTAACAAATGAAACATAGCAAACCTTACTAGCCAACTGGACTGTCTTTTAAGATACAAAAGTGTACTAAGAAGTTTTATAAATCTGCAGAAATTAAAACAAATAGGAATACACGCATATCACACATCACAGATAAAGACATTTATTTACGCTAGCATAGTCAGAATTACTTTATTCACATGCTGAGATAATAGATATTTAAAGGGCAAATGGTTGTATTTGAGCAAAGACTAGTCTTGCCCTAAAATGAAGGAATTCTTTAATCTTCTTATATGTGGAAAGCTAGAACATCAATTCCATAGATTATAATATACTCAATTATTTTTAGCACTACTTCATCCTTCATTATTAGAATTGATCATCTAGACAAATGTGGCTTTCCCATACAACCCTCATGGAAACATTAGATAACAAATGTAGTACGTTCAAAAATTATGACATTAAGATGTAGCTTAACATGAATCAAAGATATTTAGACATATGGTATTGATCAGCATGAATTTAAATTGCATCAGTATGGATTTAGGCTGATCACAAGGGGGAAAACCTCTCTGAACATAGGTTTATTAATTCCAGAAAGACTTGCTAAAGAAAAACCCTTTTCCCTGGAAGTCTACAAAATTAGGTAATATGGTGTGAGTAAATGTCAAAAATAAACAAAATCTTGATGTTGAAAGGTATTTCCAATGGCATCAAGATCCAGGCAAGATTGCAGCAAGGCATCCCATAAATAGCAATTGACCATTCCATAGAAAGTGATCCAAAGTATTTTTGAATGAATGAATGAAAAGGAGATCTTAGTTTTAAAAGCACTCCAGGAATAACAATCCAAATCTCCCTCTTAATAACCTGTATCAGTGAGTGTTTAATTTTGTTACTTATCTGTATATCGCTTACCTAAATCTTTCATGTTGAAACTATTAAATTCAATGAACAGTCACTTTTTTTTTTGTTTTTATGCCTTTTGTGACAAAATCCCACATTCCTGATGACCAAATAATTGAAGGCGATAATGGGGTGGTGGTGGCTATCATGACATAGTGGAAAAAGTGCTAGACTTGGAGCCAGGAGCCCTGGATTTTATTCCCATTTATACTACTAGCCACTTTTGTAATATTGGTCAATTCGTGTTCTCTCTCTGAGATTTTTTCCTCGTGTGAGAAATGGGACATGGGTGTGGGCGAGTGTGGATTAGAGGATCTTTTTTTTTTTTTTTTTTTTTTTTTTTGAGACGGAGTCTCGCTGTGCTCCCAGGCTGGAGTGCAGTGGCCTGATCTCGGCTCACTGCAAGCTCCGCCTCCCGGGTTCAGGCCATTCTCCCGCCTCAGCCTCCCAAGTAGCTGAGACTACAGGCGCCCGCCACCACGCCCGGCTAGTTTTTTGTATTTTTAGTAGAGACGGGGTTTCACCATGTTAGCCAGGATGGTCTCGATCTCCTGACCTCGTGATCCACCCGCCTCGGCCTCCCAAAGTGCTGGGATTACAGGCTTGAGCCACCGCGCCCGGCCCATTAGAGGATCTTTAAGCTTGTTTCTATTTCTGACATTCTGTGAGTATAAGAGACCATTCCCAACTTATTATTCCACACAAACGAAACAATTTCAAAATTTTAAAACTTGTCAGTCTTGTTTTCCTTTGATGATGATTATAATGATAACTAACACCTATTAATAGCTTTCTATGCCAAGCATGTTATATAGATCATTCTCTTTAACACTCCAAATAACCCCATAAAGAAGATATTATTATGACCCCATTATATACACAAGTAAAGTTAGACAGAGGTACTATAGGTAACCAGATGGAGATTACACAGCTCATGCTAAGGTGCTGGAATTCCAACTCAGTTAGCATGACTCCAGAACTCATTCTCTTAATCACTATACTTTGCCACTTTTATTACTTGTCTCATTATATTTTCTGTTTTTCAAGTTGTGTAACCTAATTATATGGTTAGGTTTGACTAGTGCATATAACAGGTCAAATACTGGGATTTTTAAAATTATTCACTGTCAAAAGCAACTTTGGAGGCCTGAAAATAAGACACCCAGCCAAAAGTGGCTGTGTGAGAGAACAGCCTTGATTAGATAATTTAAGCTTCCATAAACTCAATAGAATTTGTTTGTAAAATGCGTGATACATTTACGGAGTGTACTCACAGGCCTCTAAAACTCAATAAACCATTGAGTTTTTATTTAATACTCATATCAACTAATCTCTTCAATTTTGCAGGAAGACCTTACTTTTTCTCATAAAATATTCAGCATTTTGTTGTCATTTATTCCTGTGGGTCAGACTTGCTATATACACAAACATTATACCTTATTGCAACTTTAAGTAGAGTCTGGTGAAAAGGAATTTGGGGCCAGGCGCGGTGGCTCACGCCTGTAATCCCAGCACTTTGGGAGGCCGAGGTGGGCGCATCACGAGGTCAGGAGATCCAGACCATCCTGGCTAATATGGTGAAACCCCGTCTCTACTAAAAATACAAAAAATTTTAGCCGGGTGTGGTGGGGGCGCCTGTATGTAACCCCAGCTACTTGGGAGGCTGAGGCAGGAGAGGCAGGAGAATGGCTGAACCTGGGAGGCGGAGCTTGCAGTGAGCTGAGATCCACTGCACTACAGGCTGGGAGAGAGAGTGAGGCTCCGGCTTAACAAAAAAAAAAAAGAAAGAAAGAAAGAAAGAAAGAAAAGAAAAAAGAGAAAGAAAAAGAATTTGGTTTATAATTATGTGGGCTTAGTTCTAATATATCTAG